AAAAACCATTTACCATTGCAACAACAACAATAAGATCCTGGGGTCTGGCTCCTGGGCTGGAAAGACTCAGATTGCTGGGGCTGGAACCTCTGGCCAACACTGAGTAAGAACTGCTCCTCAGGCTTCTCTCCGTGTGGTCGCCAGCAGAGGGGCTTCGGGGCAGCCAGACTTGCAACCCGTTTGTTTTATGGCCCGATCTCATACGTTTCAGTGTCTCTTCAATTACACTCTGTTCCTAAGCCATAGGAATAGAATGAAGCCAATGTATTCAAAAGGAGAGAAATTAGATTCAACCTTTGATGGAAGAATGTCCAAGAAATTGCAGGGGTGTTTTAAAACCAATGTGCTATGTAGAACAGAACAAATTAGAAAGACCCAAGAAAGCTCAATCAGTTTAAAGCTCAAATGTTTCAGATGTGTAAGCTGAGGCTGAAAGAGGAAAATTGAGTTGCTCAAACTTTTCACTCAAGGCAAGAATTGAGGAAAAACACATTCTCTTAGTTCTTAATCTTTGACACTGTGCCTCAGGATTAATACCATTTTTCCATCATAATATTATTCCTTGATCACTATTGATTTTATTTTTTGGTGGTTAAACTGGCTAGTAAATAATATTATTTACATAGCAAGAAACCATGAAGGGGATCGGAACATGCTGCCCCAAATATAGTACTTTGGCATTGTTTTGGTCCATTTGGGCTGCTACAACAACAAAAGCATAGACTGGGTGGCTTATAAGCAGCAAACATTTATTTTTCAGAGTGCCAAAGGCTGGAGGTCCAGATGAAGGTGCCAGCAGATTCGGTGTCTGGTAAGAACTGCTTCCTACACAGTTGCCTCTCGCAGTGTCCCCGCAGGTTGGAGGGGGCAAAGGTGCTCTCTGGGGTCTCTTTTATAAGGGCACTTATCCAATTCACGAGGGCTCCATCTTCATGAGTTAATCTCCTCCCAAAGCCCACCTGCTAATACCATCACATTGAGGTTATATTTCAACATATAAATTTTCAAGGGGCACAAACATTGCCATAATAGGCACATTGATTATTTTGAGTTTAGGGCAATTGAGGAACAGCAAATGCAGGAAGGGCTCTCTGGCCTCCTCCTTTCTACCTATAAGCAGGGCATATATTTCCTGTGAACAAAATGTCCTCCCAGCCCTGGCAGGTAGCTCAGTTAGTTAGAGCCGTGCCCTGATATACCAAGGTTGAGTGTTTGATCCCCAGTGATGGCACATACAAGAATCAACCAATGAATGCATAAATAAGTGGAACAACAAATTGACCTCGTGAGCAGGTCGCTCTCTCTCTCTCTCTCTCTCTCTCTCTCTCTCTCTCAAATCAATCAATAATTTTTTTTAAACTGTCCTCCCACTACCAGGAAGAGGAGAACATTTCTTATCACCTGAGATAGGAGTCCACACCGAGATGACTCTGTACAAGCAAACCTACTAAAATAACCCCTATCTTCCCTTACTTTCCCCCATATATTTCCTCTGCACTTTCCCACAATTTACCACCCTTAGTCCAGACCCGTTTTTCTTTTGTCTTGTCATATCCCCACAACTTATCTTCCTTTGTTGAAATGGTATGTGAGCTCTCAGGCCTATCTATTTCTTTGGGTCTTCATTGCTTAAATATGAAGGCCTTTATTACCTTCAATATTAACCTGAAATAAAAATCTGTATTTTTTTCCTGTTACTCTGTCTTTTGCCATTTTAATTCTCAGGTCCAGTTACAGAATCTAAGAGGATAGAGGAAAACCCTTTCTTTTTCAATATATAAATTGTAAAATAGTTTAAAAGAGCAGAAGCATTTTAGAAACATTTCTCCTACCTCTTCTTTAGTTTTTTGAAAGAGCTTGGTTTCCTTAAATTGAAGTCACAGTGATTTTTCAGGGGCTAATAAGTACAGCAACGGAAACTTCCAAGAAAATGCCTTATAACTTGAGTGGATGGAACTCTATAGCATCTTTGGCCCCATGTATCAACTGAAGTACGGTAATGGAAGAAATTTTCATTGAATTTGAAAAAACATGACCCTGTTTGCCTGCTTCATTTTACTTTCATGTGTGTGCCTTCTAACAGGATCAAGGAACTTTAAGAGGTCTTACACAACTGACTTGCTAAAGTGGAAAAAACAAAGCCAGGAGAGATTCAAGAGATTTGCTTACCCAGGGCCACTCAGCCACCTCAAACCAAAAGGACATCTAGTACAGCTGATACTTACTGATCACCATGTGCTACAAACCACTCTCGCCACTTACATCATCACACAGCCCAACGGGACAGCTGTTACTATTAAACCAAGTATTAGGTCTTGGAGGCCTAGGGAGGGTAAAGAAATTGTTCTAGTTACCCAGGTAGTAAACTTGCTGAGCCAGAATTTGCACTCACATGTGTCTGGCACATGCCACAGTGTGCGCCCCCCTGCAGCCCTCTCTGGAACTCCACTTAAGACAAATTATGTTGCTTTTGTTTGTTTTTTTTAAAAGCCACCAAGGCAGAAAGGGCTTTTCCACCTCCCTACACCCAAGGGAATAAAGAGCTAATAAGAAAGCCTTCAGAAAAAAATTTTTTATTCTTAATTTCTTTGGTTTTTCTATTTTAATGTCTTTTGCTTATGTTTCTGATGATCGGGATTTTAACATGATTTGCATAATATTTTCTCAGTGTAACTTGCAAAGTTCCTAGACCTGATTGGACTAGGATCCAACCAAAATCCTGAAATGAACACAGCCATTGAAACCTACCATTTTAAAGAGAACACTAGAAAAAAAAATGGAGCACTGGAATTAATAGACTTCCTATCTGTTAACATTTCAGGCTTTAGTACATTAACTTTTTATTTTCACATAGATTTTGTGCCACTTTTAAGTCATTTCACTTATATTTAGTGATTTTTTCTGTCTTGGTTTTGCATGACTGTAAATATCCATTATGATAACAAACATAAATGCATGTGTAAAGACGTAAGTTCTTGATATATTTGACACAATTCTTACCCGAGAATAGGAAGAAATGTTAGGTGTGCAGGACGGATAACGACTTACTGCTTCTGCGTGTCCCTTAAGAGCTTCTAGCAGCTTCTGCGAGGGAAGCCCATCATTGCCTTCCCGACCTTCTTGTCCACAGGACAGAACTGAAGGGTCAGGGAAATGGCCATCTTTGAAGGGCAGAAGGAAGGGAACCCATGTGTCTTGCATTCTCACTATCTGACAGCAACTTTGTCTCCTTGTAGGATCCTTATGGCAGCCTGTGACATAGTGGCCCGCATTCTCCCTTCTTCCTTTCTGACAGATATCCCACCTTCCCACTCAGGGGAAGCCCACTCCCCTCTTCTCCAGACTAGTATGTGATCTAAGAGGAACACCCCATGAGTGGTTCAGGAATGACCAAGTGACCCAGTCAGTAGATGAGCAGGAAGTCTAAGAGGAAGCTTGGGAGAAAAAAAAATTTTTTTCCCCAAGGGAGAGCAAGAGAAATTGCTGTCTCTATTATTCCCTCGGCCACCGCGGTGGCATCCACAGCACTTGCAGCTACCTTGCTACCCTCAGAGGTGAGGGGTTGTGCAGCATGGGAAATGGAAGGCCTTGGTGCTACTGTGTGCTACTAAGTTGTGTTTCCCAGTGCAAATGCTATTGGCATTGGAGCAGAGTAATTCTTTGTTGTGACCGCCTGCTGCTAACATTCTAACATCTTGAACATCTATGAGTCTGATCCCCAAAGTGCCGCTAGCAGCCCCAGTAATTTTCACAACCAAAAAAATCTGTACCCCTGTTTCTGAACACCCTTGTTTGGGTGGTGGTTTGACCCCTCCCCCATTGAGAACCATGACACTGTGGGAAATTTAAAAAAATACAAACTTGTGGTTTAGGTCGAAGAATGTGCCCACGGTGGCAGAGCCAGCATCTGGCTCAAGGTCTAACTCCACAGCTTGCTTTCCTCCCTGCCTGCTTTCCTTCCAGTCACATGGCAGGTCCTCTGAACTTTACAGTTCTGAATTTTCTCCTTTTCATCAACCTCCTCCGAAAGAACAAGCCTGGTTGGTTTGTTCAGTGGGAAACAAACAAACAAATAATAAAACAAAGGACAGAATATTTATGTGAAAAAGACTAATATGTATAAAACAACTGCTTATTGGCACCTGACACAGTTCTGTTACTATCCTGTAAACAAGGATCTGGGCAGTGGAACTAAAGGGACTGGACAGCTGAGGTGGGAAGGAAACTTACTTTTCATCATTGATTATTTGTACTGTTTGAATTCTTTATTTTGTGCAAATATTTTTTAATTTAATAAAATGGTAAATTTAAAAAGCGGTTGTAGATAAAATTTATGTTATATATGTTTCACCATAATCTAAAAAAGCAATGGTAAGATTTAACATCTAAAAAACTGGATTCATTACAACACTTCTCTTCCCTCTCATTGGCTACCTTTGGCTGTTTGATCTTATTTCTTTGCCCATTCTTCCTTTTGTAGTAGTGACTTTGGGGTTCATTCTCTATTTTTCATAGCACTGTTGTCACCTAGCATGACCCTCCTCCAGGCCGTTGGCATAGCCCTGGTGGAGGAATTTTACCTGATCCCTGCTTTGCCACCAACTATGTACACCTACCAACTATGGTCCAACCCCCCACCTTGACATAATTTGACTTGAGCCACTTTTCCATGCCCCTCTCCTCTATTCAGAAGTCATTTCCTGCAGAGCTCCCCTCAGAGCCCCTTGGGCAGATCTGCCCAAGATGTGAGCTATGACAGCAGGGCCCCAGGCCCTCTGCTCCAAATCTAGCTGAGAAACTGCATTTTTCTGTTTAAAGCATTGGGATTCCCCAACATTTTCTTTGAGCAAAGAACTCCACAGCAAAATAGCATCACTGTCATCTTCACCATCATCATCATTGTAAATGTAAGAAAAATCCAAACCTGTAGAGAATTTTTATAAGAGTTTATTTGAGCCAAACTGACAACATGCTGAGGTGCAAGATCTCAAATGCTCTGGAGAATGACAGTTTTGCAGGCGTTTTTACACATTTAAAATTCAGGGGAATGTAAGGAAGACGACATGAAGGGGGCAGAAAGCAAGGATAGTTGACAAGATTATGTGCTCCCTTGGGGGTGGTTACACCTCCCTCTAAAGAGTCTGAAAAGAGAATTACTCTGGCATTTCAAAGGTGTATTGGTTTAGATGCACAAGAAAAATGGTCAGGGCTTGTTTAAGACAAAGATAAACCTTTTTATAGACTTGGGGGGTGACCACCCACCATGACCTGCACAGTTAGGTATTTATGATTTATTACAGCAGCGATTTTGCTTCCACAAGTCTCCCTTTTGGTCATAAATCAATCAGAAGAATGCACTGATGACCAGCCCTTCAGTCAGGTAGTGTGGTTTCACAGCAATGGGAAGGCTTATTCCTAGGACTTCTCAGTATCAATGCTGTCTTGTTGAAATAATAGATCACTGCGGATGGAACAATAGCGTAATTATGGCATGCGAGTTCAGGCCCAATTTTCCCAAAAGAGAAAAGCAAGTAAATGGAAGGCAGTCAGGACTATGGCCTTCATTGAGAATAATCACTCTGGATCCTGTGAGCTATCATGATCTGAGTTTTGCCATCAGTCTAATTTTTCTTTTTTTGTATTTTGCATCTAGTATAACATTTATATAAGTCATAAACAGTATTAACGGTATCTTATACATGTTCAGTAATCATAAGCAGTTGGACTATATAGAAAAGCCCTAAGAACAAGTATAATTTATTATAATGAACTAGAGGCCCTGTGCACAAAGATTTCTGCACTCGGGGGGTCCCTCAGCCTGGCCTGGGCCCACTCGCAATCTGGGACCCCTCGGGGGATGTGCACCTGCTGGCTGAGGCCTGCTCCCTGGGTGATTGGGTCTAAGATGGCAATCAGACATCCCTCTGGCAGCGTGGCAGCCCTCAGGGCATGTCCACTTGCCAGCGGGGAGCAGACCTAAGCTGCAGTCGGACATCCTTAGCGCTGCTGAGGAGGCAGGAGAGGCTCCCACCGCCAGCGCTGTACTGGCAGACATCGGCCTGGCTCATGGGTGAGGGTCTGATGGCTGTTTGCAGGCTGGCCACAGCCCACAGCCACCCATACTCCCAGTGGAGGCTGGCTGGAAGCAGGTATCTGGGATTTATTTATCTTCTATACTTGGAACTTTGTTGCCTTTAGCGGAGGCCACAGCAAGCCAGGGCAGGTGAGAAGCTTGGCTTCCTCCATCACTGGGGCAACCAAGCCTCCTGCTTGCTCCAGCTCCGTGGCTGCCAGCGGCCATCTTGGTTGGGTTAATTTGCATATAGTCGCTCTGATTGGCTGGTGGGTGTGGCTTGGGGCGTAGCAAAGGTATGGTCAATTTACATGTTTCTCTTTTATTAGATTAGATATCGTTAGCTGACAGGTAAAGAAAATTAAATAGTTTCTGAATTCACTATCAATCTGTAAGGATACCGGCCTGGCAACATCTTGGGTAGCTGTCTACTTCTGTTGTCAGTAGCTACGCACACTTGAGGAGTCTTTGAAGGAGTTGTAGGTGGAGGTGCCAGAGACAGGGGTAGATGTCCATTCACAGTTAGGTGCCTAGGGTCCCTTTCAATGAGGTTGGCGAATATCTTTTATGTCCCTTCCAATAAACAAAATATCTTAGTGCCAATCAATGATCTTTAAGTTTCTGCCTCCTGGGAGCTCACTGTGAAAGGAAGCAATACCAACTTGGCATTTTCTTGAAGTGACTTGATCAAACCTTGACAATAGTGTACACAAGCATGTCAAACTTGCGGGCCTACTGGCTGCGAGTTTGACATGCTTGCTTCTCCTTTCAATGTTGTCAGCTCCTAAGTTCCTTATGTGAGAAATCTTCCAACATTCATCTAATTTAAGTTCAGCCTTAAAGCACTATGATGCATGAAGGAAGGCAAAAACTGAAAAATGGGGTTTGCCAGGGAGCATTGAAGAACCAAGTGGCTGTCCTGGATTGCCCATAGTCCTGACATTCATTTAATTTACAACCATTGTTTACCCATACAATCTACGCTAGGAGTTTTTTTAAATCATTTTTTAAATAATGCTTCCCATGCAATTTAACATAAAAGCAAATCTTTTGAGGTGTTCCAGGGACCCTCTGGGACACCGCAAAGTTATTCCTAAGTATACTGAAATTTTTAACCCTTAAAATCTCAATTTCTAAGGAAAACTAAGAAGTAAGCAATTGGCATTCTTTAGTTTGGCAGATTTATAAAGACATTCTATAACCGCTAGAAACATAGGCTCTTTTACTGTAAAATACATTTCATAATTTTAGGAACATATGCATCCTCAACAACAACAAAACAGAACAAATTCAAATTTATCTTTTCATTTCTTTGTAATAAGAATCCAAACATAGGTAAATTATGTTCACCATTAATGATAATTTTTTTGTAAACCTAGGTAAAATAAAGACAGGTCTGTCTTACTTAAACCAAATTTAAACTAGTTTTTATTAGCTAGGATTAATTTTAGAGCATGTGATCATGAACAGGTTTTGAGTTAGTTTCTAATTTCTGAGAATTTTTAGACTACTCAATCTGTATAAGGGCCTGCCTTTAAATCAATTAATTTTAACTTATTTAATTAATTTTAACAGTACTATCTGGAGGTAGAAAATTATCTCACATTTACAACACACACACACACCTTTTAGTCATGAGAAAAACTCACTAATTTATTGAAAACAAAACAGCTGAATTCAAATTTTATTTTGGCAGTTGGGATAAGAAGACCAAATTTGTAGCTGGCCCTGACAAGTAAAGTTCCAAAAGACCTCCCCCTTTTAAAATAAGGTCAGCTGTTGTTTTTTGCTTGTTTGCTTGCTTGCTTGTTTGTTTCTTTTAAATATGGAACGCTTCAGAAGGTGCATGCCATCCTTGCTCAGGGATCATGCTGATCCCTGTATCATTCCAATTTTAGTATAAGTGCTGCTGAGGCGAGCACAGGTCAGCTGTTTCTGGTACCTCAAAAAATTGGGTTGCTACCTAAACTACATCATAGGTGATCCATTTATCTAAAATTTTTGAAGCTTCAAGAGACCAATGAAATATGCTTTGCTTTCATCCTGCCTAAGTTTATAGCTAACTTTTTCTAATTGTGCATAAGAAAGATGAATTTAGAAGTATCAAAGCATCTTCATCTCAGCCATCTTCCTGCAGAAGCATCAATGGACGGCTTTTTAGCCTCAGAGACATGACTTCCCATGTTAACTTTAGTTCTACTTTGCGATCTCTAGAGTCTGAAAAAATTCTAGGAAAAAACAGCCCTTACATGCTTGCCTCTGGATGAGCCGCATGCCATGAATCTCCCTAGCCTAGAGGACCACTTCCCGCCCTAGAGGAAATTTTTCCTCAGGCAACTCCACACAGATTCTTTTTTTTTTT